TGTTAAGGGCTGTACGTTGGGTATATTACGGTAGTGTCTAATTACACAGGACACGCCCCCCCCCCCCCCCCCCCAACAGGGGGGACGAAAAAACAGCGACTAGGTGCATTTAGGAATCTAGCAGAAAGGGCAGGGCAGGTAACCTCTGTCTCCTCCTCACCCCAGGTCCGGTTCCCGTCTCACTTCAGCTCAGACCTGAAGGACCTGCTCCGGAACCTGCTGCAAGTCGACCTCACCAAGCGCTTTGGCAACCTCAAGAACGGGGTCAACGACATCAAGAACCACAAGTGGTTCGCGACCACGGACTGGATCGCTGTCTACCAGAGAAAGGTGTCTGGGGGAGATGGGTGGGGCCGGCCAAGGGGACGGGGGGCATCCCACAGGCACACAGCCTCCGTCAGCAGCACCTGGTACATGGGCTCATCTGTGCCCAGGCTGCTGGGGCTCTGCAGCAGGTAGTTAGATGTGATCACCCAGCGTCGGTTTCGAGTAGGGAGTCCTCAGGCACCTGATTGTAAATGGTGGCAAAAGCACAGTCCTGTCCTTGCCCCGAGGATAACAGCCTACTACTGCTGCTGCCAGCTGATGGCATTATTCCTTTAGCTCAGTTGGGAGGGGGCTGTGCTGAATGTTCTGATTCAAACCCTGATAATGCTGCAAGTGAGGGCTGTTGTGGGGATCCAAGGGGCTTGAGACCCCCTTCCCCGGCCCTTTCCTGATTGCAAAGGAGGGGTGAGAAGAGCTGGTTCTGACCAGATAGAATGGGGTTTGAGGAAGCGCTGATCCTGCATCCCTCACCTGGTTTCCAAGGGGCCCAATCTTGTATCCTTTACGGGTGCTGAGGGCCCTGATCCTGGGTTCCCCTGGGGATCATGGTCCTCCCTTTGATGATTGCAAAGTGTGAGGTTTTCTGGCTGGATGGGGCACGGAGGCTGACCCCTGCTTGCTCGTGACCCAGCTGTGTGTGCAGGGGGTGCAAACGCTGAGCCCTCACCTCATCCACAACCTCCCTTTGCAGGTGGAAGCCCCCTTTATACCAAAGTGCAAAGGCCCCGGCGACACGAGTAACTTTGATGACTACGAGGAAGAGGAGATCCGGGTCTCAGTCACCGAGAAGTGCGCCAAGGAGTTTGCCGAGTTCTAGGGCCAGCAGCCCCCCGCCCTCGGGGAGGGCACGTGCGGAGCAGGTGGGGGCGGGGTTGGATTTGATCAGCAGAAAGGCCAGAGTTCCTTGCCTGTGTGTTTTATTTTTGTGGGCGGGGGGTAGGGATTTGCCTGGATCCGAGTGGGGGGCTAGCGGGAGACCCACCCGTTCTAAACCTGTGCAAAGCAAATGACAGTAGAGATGGGCAGGAGTCTAATTTCCCCCATTCACAACCCTGGCCCCCATGCTTCCCCCCTCCCGCCATCACAAGCCTGCAGCCCCCACCCCCAACAGTTCTCATCATCCCCCTCACCTGGGATTCACACAGATTTCCCCCCCACACACACACTAGTTACTTTCCACCCCTTCACACTGAGCCGGTTATCCACCTCCCCACACTGCCTCCCCAATCCACACACGCTGCACCCCCACAGTCCTGGCCGGCTTTATTTGTGGATTTTAGTGTTTGGAGGGGGGCGGTGGGTGTACTTTGCCATCAGATCCCTCCTCCCAAAAGACTGTGGCTATTTGCAAAGGCTTCTGGGAGCAAGGTGTGGGGAATATATGCCCCAGCACCCACCTTCATGGCAGATCAACATCTTGGCTTCCAGAACAGTTTTGAATCCTCCCCATAATGGGGAGTTGGGGGAGGGGTGAAAAATCCCAGCCTCCCCACCACCACTCTGGAAAGAGGGAAATCTAGTCTCATTTTATAAAAGGGGGGGAGGGAGGAGGTTGGACTCCTTTTTTAAAATTTAAAATAAATAAGTAAATTAAACCTTCTTTTCCTTTAGGGGATGGGAGGAAGAGGTTTTAAACATTCAGACGTAGGGCTGGGTTGGGTTAATTTACCCTACATCAGCCCCCCCCCTCCCCAGTGACTCTCCCCTCCCCATCCCTGCACCAGGAATTTTAACTCTCCAAGTTTGAAGGTGTCCAGGTTTTAGCAAGAAAAAAAGATTGAAACTGACAGTATTTCCCCACCCACGCTGCACTCTGGTTTGGGGGTGTCTTATGCTGGCGGGAGGAGCTCGGGGGGTCAGTTACAGGCTGGAGTGGAGTTGCTGGGAGAGAGAATCTCCCCGGTGGGTTTTGGATTTTTAGCTCCCCTTGGAAATGCAGCCTCTTGAATCTGGTCTTTGAATTTGAGCAGCTCCCTTCCCTTCCCCCTCCCAACATCCCTTCCTTGGCCTGGCCTCTTGTGTGTCGAGTGGCAGGTGCAGGTAAGATCTGGTTCTGGGGTACTTGGTCAGTGGAGGCTTGTCTGTCCCTTCCTCCCTCCCTCCCTCCCCTGTAGGCTAAATGGGGCCCTGCAGAGAGAACTCAAAAGGATTTTCTGGTGGGGGGGAGGAAGGATTCGCATTACCCACAATCTTCTGGGGCTCCATTCTGCACCTCCAATGGCATGCTCTCAATTCTTGTTTTAAGATGAGAAGGGGGAGGAGAAACCCGAAAATTGAGTTGGGGGGAGGCCAAACACAGGATCCCAAGTAGGCTCTGATTCCCTGTCTGAATTGACCCCACCTGCCGCCTCCAGGGGGTGACCCCATTAGATCTGTGGTCAGGTTGGGGAGTGTCATTAGACCAGGATTAGCCCCTCAAAGAGAGATCAGCGTGGGGGAAGGGTGCTGATACCCAGCCATGGTGCTGCTTTATTGGGGGTGGAGGGGAAGGTTGGGGGGTGGGGGAAGGCTCTTGTCCTATTCATTTACTATTCCTCCTGTTTGATTCTTTTCTTATCCTCCCCCGCCTGCCCCCAATGCAGTGCATCAGTGTGGTGGTCCTGTTCTAACCCCCCCAGCCTGTCTCCCACTGTGTGTATTCACCAGCCGGTTGAATTTCTTGTTTCTCTCCGGGGCGGAGGTGTGTGAGCTTCTTTTGGTTTCATAGATAAATTATATATATTATAAATACATGAGCGCTGTCGGGAGCGGAGGAGGGGAGCCCGGTGGCTAGCCCTCCCCCTCCCCCAAACAATCCCCTTTCCCACAAAGAAGCTTGAGGGTCCCATCTAGAGGGTGGAGCTAACATCCGCCCCGGGAAACACGTCTGTGTCATCCGAGAAAACTTGTTTCACTGGAAAAAACAAAAACAAAACAACACCACC